ATGATGGCATTCAAAATGAGTTGCCCACATTGTAGGCTGTCATTTCCACTCCTTTCTCCTGTCATTCCAAAATCTTACTGGAAAGCAGAAGGGACATCTAAAATGAGTGACATTTCACTTTTTCAGGGACTGTAGAAGCTCCGATTTCCTTTCATGGAGCCTTTATTGTACCTCATGAAACTGATTATTTCAGGGAATTGCAGTATATGGTTATTATCTGTTTTTACTATTTGACCTTCCATATTTCTGAGCCTATATATATAATGTACCATGTAAGTACCACAGTGGGATTTTACAACAAACTAATTAGTAATATCACAGAAGAAACTACATTATTTAATTTTAAAATAATATAAATAATTTAATGTAACCGAGGGATATTTCCTAATAGTAAATGTCTCAGCAGACTTCTAAGGCAACATTATTAATATTGTTAAATAGAAACCATCTAAGATTATAAAACATGTTAAAATATAATGGTCTGGCTCCTACTGTAAATTATAGCCCTTTTTTCTGTCTTTAAAGAAATAAATTTTATAGAACATAGTAATATATATCACAGTTCATTTCAATTTGCAGTTATACTGAAAACAGATCCTAGGTGAATGTGCTCTGCAAAGAATTCAGAAATCTAATTTAAGCGTGACTTTCAAATTCTTGTTTTTTGACCACTTTCACCGCATGTTGGCCAGTGTTATATGGGTGGTGGTGATTAATCTCACTTCTCAACTCATCAGAATATTTATGTCAGTCTGAGTCCAGTCAGGAGAGAGATAACACAATGTCTTGAACAGGAAAAGTTAATTTTTTTTTTAAGGATAATTTTATTTTATTTTTTTAATTAAATTATTTATTTTTGGCTGTGTTGGGTCTTCGTTTCTGTGCGTGGGCTTTCTCTAGTTGCGGCAAGCGGGAGCTACTCTTCGTTGTGATGTGCAGGCTTCTCACTGCGGTGGCTTCTCTTGTTGTGGAGCACGGGCTCTAGGCGTGCGGGCTTCACTAGTTATGGTTCACGGGCTCAGTAGTTGTGGCTCACGAGCTTAGTTGCTCCATGGCATGTGGAATCTTACCGGACCAGGGATCGAACCCATGTCCCCTTCATTGGCAGGCGGATTCTTAACCACTGAGCCACCAGGGAAGTCCTAAATGTTAATTTTTTAATAAAGAATTATTAACTATAGCAGGGATTAAGGTGGGATTGGCTAGAAGTACAGAGAACTCTAAAGAATATTGGACTAGCAGGTGAAATATATAATTTAATATAATATAATAACTACCACCCATAGGGCAGAAATAGCCCAAGGAAGAGACTTTGGTCCCCCAGTGCCCCTGGATTGAGATGCAGATCTTTATACAGAGGACAAGGTCGTGATCCGCCAAATGGCAGAGAAGGTACTACAGTGTCACACTGGTAGGACTTGCTGGAAGTTCACCCTCTAAAAGGTTCCTGGTGTCTCATCAGAGGCCTTCCACTACAAAAATACCCGGGGGTACTGCTGGAGAACCAGAGAGCTCTCCAGAAGCCTTGGTCTGGAGAAGCTACTCACGAGCTCTGGAGAATACTCAGGCACTGCAGGAGCCAAACACCAGGAAAGCTACATTTGCTGCCAGAGCATTTGAGCAAACAAACCAGACCAGAAATCAAAAACCACTTTCTCATTCAACATCTTTCTTTCTTCATCTGTGGACAAAGCTTAAGATTGTGCTTGTGGGTAAAAGAAAAATATTTGAAGGACCCAGAGATATTTTCATAGAACAAGATAAGTGGGTGAATTCGGAGCTGAGGCAATAAATGTACAACCAGCATAACATTGTATTAAAAGAAGAATAAAAGTTATTTAAATATGTAGTTATTACAAAGACCCTATCTTGAGGAGTTAGATAATAGTTGGAAGTGAACTGATATGTCTGCCTGCATGCTTGTAGCTTACTTCTAGAGCTACCACAAAAAAAAAAAAAAAGTCATTTTATCTCACTGGCTCTAAGTTTCTGCAAATGCAAATGGAAAGAATTAAAGTAAATTTACCATTTCAGCTGCATTGACTGTATCAGTAAATGGTTGTTGGGGGAGTGCTATATTTAAACTTAACTGCTTCTTATAAATGTGATTGGTCATTTAAAATGAATAAATCGTTTTATAATATAGCTGCTAATAAGAAAGAAATTTCACAGTCAAGGAGAGGCTCTGTAGTATATGTTTTTGACATATCCTAAATGGCCAAATTACCTTAGTTGGCTAATAAACGTGATTCTCAGAAAAGTTCTATGTAATTTCATCATTTCTCAATAAATAAAAGGGCAAAATAGATTGAAGGGCATAAGTCACATGAATTATTATTAGGAATTTTCCAAAGAGTCATATGTTTAAACGTGTTCAGGGAGAGGAGGACTTCAGCATAAAATTATCATCCAATTCATCAGCATTTATTGTTCTCCATTGGGTCTAAGGGGTGCGTGCGTGTGTGTGTGTGTGTGTGTGTGTTTGTGTGTGTGTGTAAAGCTTTGTATTTTACAAAAGTTAGATTTAATTAGAATAGTGTAAATTAATTGCATTTAAAAAGCAATACAGTTAGATGTACTATTTTTCTGTTTACTGCAAAATGATAAAGGCTCTGAAACTAACAGAAGATTCTTTTGTTTTTAAGTTTATTATTATTTTTTAAAATTTATTCTGGTTGTGCCAGGTCTTAGTAGCGGCAAGCAGGCTCCTTAGTTGTGGCTCGTGGGCTCCTTAGTTGCAGCTCACCGGCTACTGTAGTTGTGGCACATGTGCTCCTTAGTTGCAGCTGCTGGGCTCCTTAGTCTCGGCTTGTGGGTTCTGCTCCTTAGTTGTGGCACGTGTGCCCCTTAGTTGAGGCTGGCGGGCTTCTTAGTTGCGGCATGTGTGCTGCTTAGTTGCAGCTAGTGGGCTCCTTAGTTGTGGCATGCAAACTCTTAATTGGGGCATGCATGTGGGATCTAATTCCCTGACCAGGGATCAAACCCGCATCCCCTGCATTGGAAGGCAGATTCTTAACCACTGTGCCACCAGGGAAGTCTCCTAACAGAAGGTTCTTGAATCTGTACTTGAATTACTTCAGATCATTCAAATAAATATCAGGAAAAGTTTTTGTGCAGTTATGTTAATTATAATTTAACTTTTAAATGATAATTTCAAATGGCTGGCCATTATCAAATATGGGAATAATAAGGTTAAAAAATTATGCTATTATGTGATAACAATCCAAGAAAAACAATCTTTTTGTAGACCAAGATAATATAGCATTGAATGAAAATATAAGGATCAAATAATTGTAAGTACAGTTTCCATTAGTGGCAAATAAATTTTCTTTTAAGGTAAATTTTTCTGTTAGTAGAGAAGAAATAAAATGTATAACCTCTGGACACCTGGTAAAACATATTCATTGTCACCCAGAAAATCCCAATTGTGAACAAGTTATTTCTGAAATAATATGAAAAAGAAATTGACTTATACAACTTACTTTTGTATTGCTGTTTTGTTTTAAATTTTAAAAAAGAAAAAGGTTAAGGGCATAAAAATGGTGTCTCCCATTTTAACATTACTGTGGATAAGTGGAATGTGTCCTTGGTGCTTTGTGACTTTTAAAAGTATTACTTTCCTAGATAAAATCTAATATTGGGTCAGCCAAAAGGTCTGTTCAGTTTTTTTCTGTAAGATGGCTCTAGTAGCACTTAGTTGTCTTTAACTTCATTCGAAACAATTTTGTTAGACAGTATGTGACAGCTGTCATATCAGCGTGCATTTAAAAAAGACTTATCAAAATTGGTGAACTTTTGTGTAGCCATTTTAATACTGATGATGGAAGAAGAAAAAGCAACATTTTCGGCATATTATGCTTCATTATTTCAAGAAAGGTAAAAACGCAACAAAATGCAAAAAAAATTGTGCAGCGTATGGAGAAGGTGCTGTGACTGATCGAACGTGTTGAAAGTGGTTTACGAAGTTTCGTGCTGGAGATTTCTTGCTGGACGATGCTCCAAGATCGGGTAGACCAGTTGTTGATAGCGATAAAATCGAGACATTAATTGAGAACAATCAACATTATACCATGTGGGAGATAGCCGACATACTCAAAATATCCAAATAAGCATTGAAAATCATTTGCACCAGCTTGGTTATGTTCATCGCTTTGATGTCTGGGTTCCACGTAAGTTAAGCGAAGAAACCTTCTTGACCATATTTCCGCATGCGATTCTCTACTTAAATGTAATGAAAACAAATTGTGACGGGCATTGAAAAGTGGATACTGTACAATAATGTGGAATGGGAACAGATCATGGGATAAGTGAAATGAACCACCACCAACCACACCAAAGGCCAGTCTTCATCAAAAGAAGGTGATGTTGTGTATATGGTAGGACTGGAAAGGAGTCCTCTATTAATGAGCTCCTTCCAGAAAACCAAGCGATTAATTCCAACAAGTACCGCTCCCAGTTAGACCAACTGAAAGCAGCACTCGACAAAAAGCGTCCAGAATTAGTCAACAGAAAACACGTAATCTTCCATCAGGATAATGCAAGACCACATGTTTCTCTGATGACCAGGCAAAAACTATTACAGCTTGGCTGGGAAGTTCTGATTCATCCGCCGTATTCACCAGACATCATACCTTCGGATTTCCATTTATTTCAGTCTTTAAAAAATTCTCTTAATGGGAAAAATTTCGATTCCCTGCAAGACTGTAAAAGGCACCTGGAACAGTTCTTTGCTCAAAAAGATAAAAAAGTTGGGGGAAATGAAATTATGAAGTTGCCTGAAAAATAGCAGAAAGTAGTAGAACAAAAAGGTGAATACGTTTTTCAACAGAGTTCTTGGTGAAAATGAAAAATCTGTCTTTTATTTTTACTTAAAAACCGAAGGCACTTTTTGACCAACCCAATAGTTTGATTTAAATTCTCTATTTGAAGTTTAAATTCTCTCTCTCGCTCTCTCACTCTCTTGCTGTCTCTCAATCACTTTCTCTCTCTCTTTTTTTAAGCTTCTCCATGGGTTGATAACAGTAGAACTCCAAACAAGATTGACCTTTATGATGTACGCAGGAGACCATGGTAAGAATTTTGGGGTAGCCATGGAAAGATGAAAAAGACAAAGTAAGGTTTCTTTTTTTTTGTTAAAAAGTTGGAAGGGATCTTTCCATTATTAGGAAGAATATTGTCTGATTATTTAAAAACCTCGTTTTTTCCCTTTTATACATTTGAATTTTGTATACATTTATACTTTAAAACAGTTAAAGCTAAATGAAGATGATGAGTTCAATGGGCAGAAGTTGTTGAAATGATTCATCAAATGGACTACTTTAAGTTTTATAGTCAATGTCATTTCTAAATCTCTTTTAGCTGGTGGGGATTTCTATTGAAAGTCTCCCAGTTTGCTTGGAGTAGGGCTCTAATAATCAACATCTAGATAGAGTAGAATATAGTTTGCCTCTGGTGGTGGACTAATGAGAACTAGCCCCAAGGTAAGAGCTGCCCCTAGTTATAGTCATATAGCTTACGTTTCATTTTTCCAAAAACAAAGTTTGTTTGTTCCTTACTACTAAATAAACTCATTTTCCTAACATATGAATCAAAAAATACCAAATACATAATAATTACACTCACTGGGAAACAATTATTAAACTCATGCATTTTAATTCATGGTTTGAATGTGTTTAATTGTGTGACTATTTTTTAATGAGTTCACATGTTATACAATATAGTGCTTTGTAACCTACTCTTTCATATCAATATCTTTTCATAAGAAACACAGTAGCATCATTTTAAAAGAATGACCAGATGGTAACTTATTTTAAAAATCCCCTATTATTGGACATTTAGGTTATTTCTGACTTTTTGCTAGGGTTCAGACAAATTCTAAGAGACATAATAGTTGATTCAAAGAAACGTATTTAAGGCTTTTAAAATGCCCTATTAAACGTCCCAGTAGCAATTTACATAAACACCAACCATGTATAATAGTACCAGGTATTATTAATCCACATATTATTGTTGATAATATTTCTCTAAGTTAGTGGCTTTGGAGCCATGGGTTGTTGAGTGGAGGCAAAGCCTATGACATTACATGATTTGAGTTCAGGAACCAGTTGTTTCGGCGGAAACTTAGAAACTAGGTCCCAACTAGAAGAGACAGACGATATCCTGTCCTCCATCTTCCTCATGGAGAGGCATGTCAGGACCATTTGTCAAGATGCTAGACATGAACTAGATTTGCCTTCCACTGGAATATCCACTGGAATATCCCAGCAACCCTGCCATTTTACCTTCTAATAGAAAAACAAACTTGAGTGCAAGCTGTTTCATGAACATATAGTGCTGTTTAGTTTCATGAACATATAGTGCTGAATAGTTTCATGAACTCTGTTTCATGAACATATAGTGCTGAATAGTTACTAATTGTGCTGAATGTTGCCTGAAAACTTATTGGCAAGTTATCTGGCAGGCTTCTGAGAAGTTAGATTTAGAATCTTGGACAATAAGTAGAACACTGAGTTCAGATGCAGCTCTTCTTGTTGGGGAAGGCAGGTCCCCACTTCCCATCAGCCTGGGGCCAGGCAACAGGAGTTTTCGGGATCATTCACCTGTAGTTAAGTTTATCTCTACAGTGGCTGGACTATTCTCCTTGAGTCTCTTTTCACGTGCAGACATTTTGAATCTTTAGGGCTGGGGTTGAGTGTGGAAATCAGCATTTTGAACTGGCTCTCCAGGTGATTTTTAAGATACTATAAAGTCTGAGAACCACTACTTGAAACTCTTGGAAGTAACATTATATATTGTTTTTAATTACTTTATTGTCCCTTTGTCAGTCTTTATTGTCCCTTTGTCAGATTAGACCACTAATCTATTTTTGCAGGGTTTTTTTGTGTGTGTTTAAATATATGATACAATCTTATTATTTGTTTTTATTATTATTATTCTTTATTTATGTATTTATTTATTTAGTTAGTTTTGGCTGTGTTGGGTCTTCGTTGCTGCTCACGGGCTTTCTCTAGTTGTGGTGAGCGGGGGCTACTCTTTGTTGCGGTGCGCGGGCCTCTCATTGTGGCGGCTTCTCTTATTGCAGAGCACGGGCTCTAGGCGTGAGGGCTTCAGTAGTTGTGGCAAGTGGGCTCAACAGTTGTGGCAAGTGGGCTCAACAGTTGTGGCTCGTGGGCTCTAGAGTGCAGGCTCAATAGTTGTGGTGCATGGGCTTAGTTGCTCCGTGGCATGTGGGATCTTCCCGGACCAGGGTTCGAACCCGTGTCCCCTGCATCTGCAGGCAGATTCTTAACCACTGCGCCAGCAGGGAAGCCCTATTATTATTCTTTAGAGTGAGTTTTAGAACCTGTGGTCAGCAAAATGGAATTTAGGATAACTTTTTTTTTTTTTTAGGGAAATGTTCTTCCAGATGTTAATTTCTTTTGCTCCTAGTATTAAAGCACATCTCTTATTCCTTTGTTATAAATATCTGTAAAACATACCTTATGTATTATGCCTCTGACATTTCTATTATGTTAAATGTAGCTTTTCTAAAGTTGATGTTACAGAACTGTGAATAAAAGAGCATCGTCTACCTAGATAGAATGAAAGTAGGGCCTTGCTTGGAAAATATCTCAGAGATTAGTAAATAGCAGTTCAACAAATATCAGTGCTTGATATTTTACAAGAGAAAAAATTATTTGTATAATATTTGTTACAGGTACATCCAAGGAGCCGCATCTCCTAAAGACATGCTTATTCTGGTTGACGTGTGAGTAGTTAAATATTACGTAATTTTCATATACTGAGAATATAGGGAGGAGTTTCAGATAACAGTAGTAGGTTGGGACTAGAAAATAGGTTGACAAAAAGACAAGGAATAATTATGATGGCTTTTATATCCAGACAAAGAAATCAAATTACGGCAGTAACAAAACAAACAAAAATTCTCTTATTGAAAATGAGAGGAATCTATGTCAAAATTGAAAATTATGACTTGGTTCTAAATCTGAGCTTTTTGAAAAATTATTGATTTGCTTCCAGTTTTTTGCTTTATATTTTAAACAATATTAAAGTACATGGTTGCTAAACCTAAGCTGTTTCTGCTTCCAAAAAAAGTAGAATAATTAGTTGGCACTTAGTTATTAATGATTCAAATATCTTTTAGGGATTGGCCACAAAATATCAATAGATAAATATTATATATATTGAATGTCAATACTAGGCCTTTCTCAAGGGCAATGCTGAAATACAAGAAAGAATTTCATGAGTTTTTATATTGGTCATTTTATTTTTTTGTTACATTGCTTCAAGTTAGGGTGTGTGTGTGTGTGCGCGCGCGTGTGTGTGTAATCTTCCAATAAGATAAAAGGTGAAACGGTAGAACATAGTGAAGAATATATCCTGCTTTGGAGATTTAGTTTTTAAGAGCAATACCAAGGAACTAAAAACGTGAGGTATAAAATGCTTATATTATTTTCCCTGAGAGAATAAAAGTATACCCTCATCTGTTCTTTGCCACTGGAAGAAACAGAATCCAATGTTTTATAGGCAACTAAATTCATTTCACCGGATAGTGTCAGCGTTTGAAAATTTCTCCATTGTAATGTGAATTGAATAAGTTTAAAATCTTATAACCTTGCCTGAGAAAGAGAAGATAACTGAATTTGACAAATGTAACAAATATTAAATCTCATTTCATTTGTTACAGTGCATTTAAACTTAATTTTGTTTTAATTAAGTTATTATAGAGTTTGTACATATGCTAATCCTTGATATTCTTCTGAAATATAAATCTGAATGGTAATGCAATATGTTATAATCCTATTGGATATATGCTAATTTCCTGAAATAATTTCTTTTACTAAAATCTTTGGAACCCATGTCGGATACCAAGTGGGATAAAAATGTAGATGAAGTTGTAATGCCATTTTCAAAAATTATTTCAACAGAAATGTGTTGAGGGTATCCCTATATACAATGTGATGATACAAAGATGATTAAGACATGGTCCCTGATCTCAAAGATGATTCAAATGTATTAGTGAAATTAAACCATATTCACATCAGTAAATTAAAACAATTGTAGGAAGTGAGAGATATAAAGTATGACACAGCACTGAAGGAATACATAGGTGAGAGAGCACATTTCATTTTAAAGTGTCAGGAAAGACTTCATTAAGGAGATAAAATTGGAATTGAATCCTTATAGCTAAGATTTAACAAGGCAGGCATGGGAAGGGAGAGGAAAGAGAGTGGAATTTCAGGTGGAAGGATGACAGTAGCAAAGTGGCATAGATGAGAACATCTGATAACAGCTAGAAAAGTAAAACTGGGAAAAAGTTGGGAACTAGAGACATAAAAGTGGAAGTTAATTGCCTAGAGTTGAGCCCTGCAAATAGATGCGGTCATTCAGGATCATAAAATATGTAGAGACAAGAAAAATGAAGACTTAACCCCAGAGAATATCTACTTTAGGATATAAAACAAAGCATTGTGTTTACAAATCTATTATCAAATTATTATGCTGCTTCATAATTATTGGTTTAATCGTGTCAAGCAATGAGCTCCCTAGGGCAATGACTGTATCTGTTAACCTCTGTAGCCCTCACTACTAACTTGGCTAACAGAGCTGGTATTTAGTGTATATTTCCTCAATAAGTGAATATGCCATGAGTATCCACAGTTTCTTAAAATTGCCACTTGACATGTAATTTTCATCATTGTAGTTAGAAAAATATACATTCTGATGCTTGTTGGAAAGAAAGACAAAATTTTTAATAATTTATTTCTACTTGCTATCAAAAATAGGAGTTTTTCTACTACTGGTTTTTTGAAGACAAAATTATTTGAATATTATTATCTAGAGTCAGTGCATAAGTTGTGTTTCCTTAGGGTGTATGATGTTAATTAACTACATGGTCATTAACATGTGTGGACTTATTTTTTTATAGGAGTGGGAGTGTTAGTGGATTGACACTTAAACTGATCCGAACATCTGTCTCTGAAATGTTGGAAACCCTCTCAGATGATGATTTTGTGAACGTAGCTTCAGTAAGTATATGATGACTGCATTTTTGCTGAGTAAAATCTACAATTTTTATCTCCCTCTGGTTTTAAATACTTTATAGTGTTTTGTCATAGATAGGCTGAGATATTTCTGGTCCTATTACAAGACTATCTTACTGAGCTATCCTCTCTTGTTACTCATTCTCCCATACTTCCACACCAAAGTCCTTTCTGAATGTTTAAGGATTTACCCATGAATGGAGTGACTGAAGCAATGAACATGAAGGAACAACATTATATATATTGTCTTTGACTCAGAGGTGCTTAAACAGTTGACGTGAACCCCCGTACTCATTGATATCATTGTAACTCCCAATAAATAGTGACTCGGCAGTGTAATTGTATGGCAATTTTCTGTTCATTGTAATGCTCCTTTTTCATACTGGACACATATCCATAATGTATTATGTTTTTAAAGTTTTTTTTTTTTTATTAACATGAGAACCAATAGATATTTGAATGTGCTTCCTTAAAATTCTTGTTTCCAGGAACCATTTTAGACCTTCCTCCTCATAGCTAGAGAGCATTGAACTCTGAAGCAAATAAAACAGGACAAAATGAATGTTACTGTATCTCACTTTAATTCATAGAATTTTGGCAGAAAATTTCATGGCCATGTACTGGTTGATATAATTTCACATTTGGAGTGGTTATATTCATAGAGATGCATGTGAGGGAAGAAGTATTTGTGGTGAGGTCATTTTGTATTGAACGTAGGAGAATGGATCTACCTCTAAAACCACATGGGAGGAAGTTAAAGCAGCTGGCCTACAGTCAATTTACTCCCTTCACTGGAAGGGTACCCCCTGGAAAAAAGTAGGTAGAGGAACTGAATATACTCTCTTGTCAACCAGAGCCTCAAGTAACTAGATAAATCATATTTACTAAGAGGAAGAGGAATTACTCCAAAAATGCTTTTAGCAGGATATTCCCTAGCTAAGGGTAACTGTCATAAATAGAACCCAAGATCAATGAAGCAAGATTCCTTTAAAACTATCTAGTAGGTAATATAACTCTCTGGGTAATAAACTGGAGATATTTCATAGTTTAAATACTCACCCTGCAAAGTTCTTTTTGAGACCACTTTCATCTGGGCCCAGAGGAGTGAGTGTCTCCAGTACAGTAATGTAGGACCTGGTCTATTAGTTTTCTGAGGCTGCTGTAACAGAATAACACAGACTGGGTAGCTTAAACTACAGAAATTTTTCTGTCACAGTTCTGGAGGCTGGAAGTCCAAGATCAAGGTGCCGGCAGGGTCAGTTTCTCCTGAGGCCTCTTTCCTTGGCTTGCAGATGGCTGCCCTCTTGCTACCACTTCATATGGTCATCCCTCTGTGCAGACTAGTGTTTCTTCCTCTTACAAGGATACAAGGCATAGTGGATTATACCCTCACCCTAATGGCCTCATTTTTAATCACCTCTTTCAAGAACTTATCTATGATTACTGTTACATTTGGAGGTACCAGGGGTTGGGACTTCACCATAGGAATTTGAGGGGGACACAGTTCAGCTCATAACATCTGGGGAACTGCCCTCCATACCCAGATCTTTCTATGCTTTATCTGAACGTTTAGCAGTCCTTAGGCTTGTCTGCATCCTTGATATTATTAGTAAAATTTGATACTGCTTAAGACCTCTGATTCATGTCGGTCTGATTTTATAATCTGACCCTGGGTGTTAGCTCACGACTTATTCAACAGAATGAGAACAAGTAAAATGTAATGCTTGGTCTCCCAAATAAAATGATCAGAAAAGATAACTATTTAGTTTAATTTGTACATAAAAATATTGTTTATTACAAAGGCATTGGAAAGGTTGCTAACAAAATATTATCTTTGGCAAAGCAAAAGAGAAAGTTGTAAAAACATTAAATTCAGTACAGATTTGGCATATCTAATGAAATTTAGATAAAACCAGCAGACATAAAATATGGTTAATGTCTTAATCTGGCTTCCTCCTGATTCTTACTCATGGATTCAAGTGTAAATGGTTTTTTTGGGACAGGATCCCAGGAAACACAACCAATTAAAGGAAATTAGGCAAGGGAAGGAAGGAGGAATGCCAATTAAAAGAACTTAATTTAATTTAAAGGGATTTAATCCTATTGAGGTATCCTAGAAGCTGTATAGAATATGAACTTTGAAGTTATTCTGCCTCAAGGCCAAGTGAGCTGTGGTTTTAAGTACCAACCTTCCATATGTGTGGGCAGAATAGACTCTGACCGTAAGAGAGAGAAATGTATCAAAAAGTTGCAGGTGATGGTAGTTAGAAACCTGTCCAGTATGTCCACTGTATCCAGTTAATGATCCTTAAAGATGGCATCTAACATGTCATTTAAAGCCACTGTTTCCTTATTGATTTTCGGTCTGGATGATCTATCCATTAATAAAAGTGGGGCATTAAAGTCCCCTACTATTATTGTACTACAGTCAGTGTCTCCTTTTATGTCTGTTAATATTTGCTTTATGTGTTTAGGTGCTTTATATTGCATGCATAGATATTTTCAAGTATTATATTCTCTTGTTGGATTGATCCCTTTATCATTTAAAAATTCCTGAAAATGTAACATTGTTTTTTATGAGTGGATACAGTCTGATGCCAGCACATCAGTGGACTTAGCACCATGATTCAAAGAACATACTGCCTCTTGAAGGACAACATTCCTACTCAAAGACGGTCATCTGCAAGCTGGAGCTTTAGTTGCACACTTAAGAGACTATCCCAGTGTTTTATCAGGCTGGCTGTTTCTCAGTGATGCAGTATATGGTAGACCCAGTGGATCCTGTGGTCATTTGTTTGTTGTTGGACCTCCTTCACCATAAAATAGATTGCTTGATTTGAGGAGATATTATGTAAGATTCCATGATGGTATTGCATGATGATAAATCAGACAGTATGTGAATCCAGAGGATTAATGATACTGCGTGAGGCATTGCAAACAGGAAAGGGGAACTCTTAACTGAAACATGTATCAATAGCAAGAAAAGCAAAATTGACGCCACCCCATTCCGGAGGGATAAAATCGAATACAGTCTGTTTGAAATCAAGTTGTTGAATGTCTTTTTGAAGAGTGATACTGTATTAAAGACTCAGCATCGGACAGTTTCCAATGGGTTAGCCATTCACTAATGGCGATAGCTATATCCCACTTGGTGAGAAAGAGTCCATGTTTTTAGACCCACATATATTCCCTCTTTCTCTGCTACCTGGCTGCTGCATTTATGAACAGTTGCTGCATACAATGGACAAATCCTCCTCTCCACTCAGTTGTTCAGTACCTCCTCTGTATGAATGTTCTCTAGTGGTGATTGATGTGAGACAGAGATCTGCACATTTCATGCCTACTCCCATAGGTCCATCCTCACGCTTCCTCTCCAGAACTCTTTGTCTGGAGAAGGTCTTCCATTCTTACTTCTTCAAGGGCATTGGCCAACCAGCTAAGCCATTTGCTCCTATGCAGGAGTGGTGTTGTCTTATCTCAGGCTAGTTGCTCCCTCACACCAAGTTGATGACCAGGTGTTTTTTGCCTCAAGATCCATCAGCATCCATCCCCTGGCATGTTCTCCCAGTATCTGCTGTTCATATTAGACAGATCTTGCATCTCTTTTGTTGAATATTCTCTTTTTCTGTTTTCCTGGAACAGAGACTATTTTTCCAGGTAGGCCATGTTGAGACCTGGTCTATTTGTTGCCTAGAGCCATGAGGGGAGATGAGATCGAACCTTAAGGGAGAGCATCATCTTTTATGGTCTCTAGGAATGGGAGAAGCTACTACCTTCTAAGAGGAAGAGATTACTTCTCCATACCCAGAGGGTATAGGGGAATCTGGAAGTTCATTGTTCTCAATAGCATCTACCCATGTCCCCATTCTACTCTTAAGATCCCATTCTTTGCCTATCAGTGCCGTGACTTTTGCATAGAAACCTGCCATGCGTGTGGATGTGGCCTCATTATGTGACTTTCAAAAGCAAATTCTGTGTCTGTTTCTAGCACACGTCATCCTTCTCACATCTAAAAGTTAGAATCTCTTTATTGTCTCCTGTATATCTTCTGGCTTTCACACTTTGCCCTTAGTTGGTAGTTGGCTGATCTGAGGTTGTCACTTTTTAGATTGAATTTAACAACCAACCAACTCCAAGCCCCTATAATTACTGTTGTCACCATATTTCTCAAATGCTAGGTGCCTCCCCTTTATTCTGTATTGTGTTCCAGTCACTACAGGTAAAAATCTTAGCAGTTATGATGCTGGCCTCTGAGGGGTTTTCTTTACTCCAGTTACCACTGATATGTAGCCAATTACCAGAGAAATCTTTATTGCCACATGGCTGGTGAATGATATAATTCTGGAATCCCATCCTGACCATGTTTCCTAAGACCTCTGCTAGTATCTTATATTGTCTTTCCTCTGAAATAGTTCATGAGATAAGGATTCAAGTACAAATGGCTTATTTGGAAAGTAATTTTAAGAAAGATTGAGAGAAATGTGAGAAGTAAAGCCAAAAAAAGAAGAGAACTGATAAACAGTGGGTTATCAAACAAGTTACCACTGTGAATGAGTAGAGCTTAATCCTCTGGGCAATTCTGTGAACCAAGGTAGATTGCGTGAGTTGAAATTATTCTTTCCAAGGGGACAGTGCTGGAGTATTTGAAGTTAATGACTGCTCCCAAGGGACGTTAATTCCCCAGTGTTCCCAGTCCCCCATGTGCACAAGCAAAAGGCTCCCAGAAATCTTGGACAGTTAAATTTGGGCTGATATGTGAGGAAATATGGATGGGGCACCAGTAGCATCTGCCTCCGTTAGAAACTGAACAGTGCTATTAAAAAATATGCTTCAAAAGATTTTCTGACTGAACAGTAGAAATGGCTTTGAATGAATTTTATGCTTTCAACTTTTAGGCAGCAATCAATGATTCTTTCCTAATTAAAATAAAAAACTTAGATGGGATTGCCTTTGAGATTCGTTTTTTTTTCCACACACACACACAC